ATATGTATCCACACATCGCCAGTGGTAGTGGGATCTAAAACCGTCAGGGGCTTCGACGAATGCATTCATTTGCATGCGTACTACAAGTGAAAATATAAATATCGCAAGTGGTACTGTCACTATATACCGTCTCTGCTACATATATTCTGCTGCGCACACTAAGGGGAGGCATTGGCCAGTTCACTCACTTTCCATATATACTGAACGTCTTATACCATTCGCGCCTGGATACACAGTTTCCATCCATGTGTAGTCACCTACAATGTGACTCACCTGAGGATAGAGTTTCCAACCCATGAACTGCCTCAGGGTAGGCAGCAGATCCAAAGTGCTCACTGGATGCGCCAGGTTGGCCAATAATTGGGCCTGAGCCTCTGGGGACACCCATGTAGGTACCTATGAGAGCGTTGCAAGCGCGAGACACCATACATATGAGATACGCATACGTCCGGATAATATCAATTCAAGTATATCCAACTTCAATGAAGAAAAAAAACTCCCGTCACAATGTTAGACAAATGTGGGATACAGATAGATATAGATATCGATGGCCATGCGCTGTCAGGAGGGGACTGACAAGTGTATGGCAAATATTATATAGGCGGGAACTACGCACTGCCCGGTGTTGTCCTATCGGAAGCTTGTACTTCTAGTGTCCCTACTCTAGTGTTGGTATACAGGACAGCATAAATCAAGATAAGAACGCGTTTATGAATGGATGTACACATTTGCTCTACAGCCGAACCACGCCCAGGTCATACCAGCCCGTTCTCACTATAACAATGGTGCATATACCGGCGTTCAGCATAAGTGTACCAACACAACACATATATGACCTTGTCCACATGCTCTCACACCGCATAGCAAATATTGTCATATCCCCAACCAATCTTCGCATGTACAAATCCATCCGTACGCCACCCGGCAGCAAGTGTGCCTGCTGCACTGTGACATGCCGCGAGCTCATCCGAACGATAAGATCAACTTACATTGATATACAGTGGCACAGATAGTACCGGTGCACTGTGTCTGAAACATCTGTCTATCTCGCGATCGGGTGTTTCCCCGTGATCCCCAGTTCCCGTAATGTATGTATTGCTCAAGTCCCCTCGTTTCTCAAACACCTGTGGCCGGGATTTAAAGGGGTTATTCTGTGTCAAGGGAAGCTGTAGCTGACTGGTAACAAAGGCGCTCTGTTCATGACACTTGCACATCGGTCAGCTCAAGTGCACATAAATCAATAGCCGTAAACCACTGCCAATACGATTGCGTACAAGCCAGGACGTCCCGAATTTAACTACGCGCGTGAATAAGTATGAAGTGACGTGACCACCCAAATGCATAGTGCGAGATAAACCAGTAACCACTCACTTGAAAAATGCGTTCCAAACTCTCATCAGTAGTCCGTATACACTCCCTGTGAGGACAAAAAGTAATTGATCACCAATAAGTTATCGGGGGGAAAAACAAACTTTTCAAGGCTTCGCAACACGTGTACATCACTAGCAGCTGTCTTGAAATTGAGAGATATACAAAAATGTTCGAATATATATGCTCCCAAATTGTAGATTAATACCATACATATTATATATA